TGTCAACAGACAACACACATAATACCTCAACATGTTATAGCTGACACCTTCAATCTGTCAACAGACAACACACATAATACCTCAACATGTTATAGCCGACACCTTCAATCTGTCAACAGACAACACACATAATACCTCAACATGTTATAGCCGACACCTTCAATCTGTCAACAGACAACACACATAATACCTCAACATGTTATAGCCGACACCTTCAATCTGTCAACAGACAACACACATAATACCTCAACATGTTAACTTACTGTGTCTGTAGAATTTCCTGAGTGTTTGTATAACTTACCAGGGGTCTGTAGAACTCAAGTGTGTTGACTGGACAGCTATCTGACAGAAAGTAGGCTTGTCCTGCCTGTATCAGATAAAGCAATGTTGTTAAATTATACCTTTATATCTCTCTCATAAAATAACTGTTGTAGATTTATACAGCTTTCTTCATTTTATAGGAAGTCATAGATTGGTCTTGTTTTGTTATTTTTCACATACTGAACAGAATGATAGTTGATTTGATATTATTGGGAATTTAAAAATATCTTGCTCATATGACCTTCATGCAAATGAACCCTTAACACTAGGAAAGTTCTATTCCTGTGTGTTAAACTTCTTTTTAATTTGTTACCCTGTTTAACACAGGGTTGAAAAAATAGTCTATAGACTCATTGAATGTTCCTCTCCACGGAAATCTTTAGTAAAAGGCGAAAGATTTATGCGTGGTTTGAAGAGAAACCAGAGTAGCCATGATAGGACATTTTAAAAATATGTATGAGAAAAAATAGTTCTTTTCAATGTGTGTGAAAAAAAAATATTTCAAAGACATTTTTTTTTATAAAAGTCGTTTTACAAATTTGAATATTATCAGCACTACCATAATGTTATAGTTACTATTAAATTGTTAAAATTAAAAACAAAGATGATGATGTATAATTTATCACAAAAAATAAGTATAGTATTGTTTATTTCTCCATGGTTAAGTTACTTTCGGTTAAGGGAGGCAACCCATTAACTGAATCTCTACTCGATAGGAGAAATTGCGTTGTAAAATGTAACAGAAATATACTCCTTTACTTACAGCCACATATCCCCGATCTTCTGTTAACCCTTCCCCTGCCAAAAGGTGTCCTTGGGCAAGATTTTCCACGTGCAGGAAGTCTTGTACACTCTCAGGGGCAGCCGATACCACCAGCAGCCCTTGCTCCACATAACCCTGCAAAAAGTAATGGGCAATATAAGGGTTGTCTCCCCTCTACTGTCAATCTGAACACAGCTTTCAAAATCTAAATTCTGATTTACATTTCATTTTCATGCCATTTTACATGCTACAGGAGTACATTTGTTGTGCCATTTGATATTGTTTCAATCCTTTTCTTGTGATTGTTACATCATTTGGAACAGCAAAGCCAAGAAAGAAATATTATTAAAACATAGAAAAAATGGTATAAATTAAGAAGAAATTAAATAGATGGTAAAAAAATAAGATATTAAAGAAATGGTAAGTTAAGAAGAAATTAAACAGATGTTAAAAACGAAGCCATTGAATGGAAAGTAAAATAATAAGATATTAAATAGATGGTGAAATAATCAGAATTAAAATATATGGTGAAATAATAAGAAATTAAACAAATGGTAAATAAGAACTTAAATAGATGGTATAAAAAGAAATTAAATAGATGGTAAAATAATAAGAAATTAAATAGATGGTATAAAAAAGGAATTAAATAGATGGTAAAATAATAAGAAATTAAACAGATGGTAAAATGACAAGAAATTAAATAGGTGTATAAAAAAAGAAGGTAAATAGATGGTAAAACAAGCAAATTCGTAGAATTTAAATTCCCCGCTTGCAGGACATATTGTAGGTTAACATGATTGAGGTTAGGTTTAAACATGTGAGTATCGTGCTGTTGTGACATAATGTAAAGCTTGAAACTTGAAAAAAAAAGCCCTATACCTCATTGATTATCCGTAAATATGCACAAATCACATCAGTTGGCAAACTTAGCATGAGTTGGATGTGCATACGGAATTTGGTTGAATCATCTGAACAATATCTACAGCATTTATCACACGAAAACCAAAGAGTGCCCAAGATGGGTGGAAAGACAGAGGAACACAAACATAGTTATCAAGTTTGAAGGAATTTGGCTAATATTTGCTGAGGTTTTTCGTTAATCAAGGGGCCATTTCTCTGCCAATGGAGTCCGACTAAAGGGATTGTCAAACTTGGCCAGGCCCTTAATGCATTGAACCCTGTTACTAAGTTCGAAGAAAATCGGATAAAATTTGTTCTAGTTATTGCATGGAAACGAAGCGTGACAGACAGAGAGACAGACGCAAATTAATATCGCCCGTTTCGGTGAAAGCGGGGGATAATAATAAGAAATTAAATAAATGTTAAAAGAGAAATGGTAAGGACAAATCTCTGACCTATGGTTTCATGAAATGTGGGTTATCTCCACAACAATAACCTGTCAGCAGAATATAGTGACATTGCTAAAACAAACATTTATTTTTAAAAGAAAAATGTCTTTCATAAAAAACGTGACTGCAAGAACAGGAACTAAATGTTTACTGAGGATGAGATGACATCCCCTGTTTACAGTCGACTATATATTAGATAGGTTTTGTGGTTGACATCCCCTGTTTACAGTCGACTATATATTAGATAGGTTTTATGGTTGACATCACCTGTTTACATTTGACTATACATCAGATAGGTTTTGTGGTTGACATCACCTGTTCACAGTCGACTATACATTAGATAGGTTTTGTGGTTGACATCACTTGTTACATTCGGCTATACATTAGATAGGTTTTGTGGTTGACATCCCCCGTTTACATTTGACTATACATTAGATAGGTTTTGTGGTTGACATCTCCCGTTTGCATTCGTCTATACATTAGATAGGTTTTGTGGTTGGTCGTGAGTGGTCTAGGTCTGAGGATGAGATGACATCACCTGTTTACAGTCGACTATATATTAGATAGGTTTTGTGGTTGACATCCCCAGTTTACAGTCGACTATATATTAGATAGGTTTTGTGGTTGACATCCCCTGTTTACAGTCGACTATACATTAGATAGGTTTTGTGGTTGACATCACCTGTTTACAGTCGACTATACATTAGATAGGTTTTGTGGTTGACATCACCTGTTTACAGTCGACTATACATTAGATAGGTTTTGTGGTTGACATCACCTGTTTACAGTCGACTATACATTAGATAGGTTTTGTGGTTGACATCACCTGTTCACAGTCGACTATACATTAGATAGGTTTTGTGGTTGACATCACCCGTTTACATTCGACTATACAATAGATAGGTTTTGTGGTTGGTCGTGAGTGATCTAGGTTGGAGGATGAGATGACATCACCTGTTTACAGTCGACTATACATTAGATAGGTTTTGTGGTTGACATCACCTGTTTACAGTTGACTATACATAAGATAGGTTTTGCGGTGGGTCGTGAGTGATCTAGGTCTGAGGATGAGATGACATCACCTGTTTACAGTCGACTATACATTAGATAGGTTTTGCGGTTGACATCACCTGTTTACAGTCGACTATACATTAGATAGGTTTTGCAGTTGGTCATGAGTGATCTAGGTCTGAGGATGCTTGCTTTGGTCATCAAATGCTTTATAATCGTATCACAGAAAAAAAAATGTCCAATAAATGTCAAATAATATGAAAACCAAGGATCCCTGAGGAGTGCAATGTCTGACATCAGAAGACATTGTCCTCTCTTCAAAGAAAGCCATACAAGACTTGATTCTAGTGAACCTAATTAATACGATTATAAATACTGACATGAGATACAGTGATCAGTTATGCTGTCTTTGATTGCATTATGGTTTGTTGCCCTCAAGGGATTGGATGGGCCCCACAGCACACCTGAATCCCCATACAAAATACAGGGCCTCATCATCAGCTATCGACTTGATTACTTCTGTAATTACTATACCCTTCAAAAGACCTCAGTCAAGTATCCACAAGGTTTATGCAATAACAACTTCATATCTGTATCCTTTGGTAGAATTTAATTTGTATTTCAAATGTTTTAAAATATGTTTGATGATATTTGATATGATTTGTTTATGCAATACATTGTGACTTTGAGATATCAGCTTAGATTTGATTTTATCTGTATAGTACTTTATTATCAGAGTTACATTTGCTGGGGTCTCAGTCCTATTTTGATGTTAAAATTCATTATTAGAGAACACTGAATGATATCATTGTTTTTGTTGTGGTACATAAAGCAATATTAAACAACTAATCTAACAGTGTTGTTGTGTTGGTTACAGTATAACAACTTCATTTTGTTGTCTTGGTTACAGTGTAACAACATAATGTTGTTGTCTTGGTTACAGTATAACAAAATCATGTTGTTGTCTTGGTTACAGTATAACAACATCATGCTGTTGTCTTGGTTACAGTATAACAATATCATGTTGTTGTCTTGGTTACAGTATAACAACATCATGTTGTTGGTCTTGGTTACAGTATAACAACATCATGTTGTTGTCTTGGTTACAGTATAACATCATCATGTTGTTGTCTTGGTTACAGTTTAACAACATCATGCTGTTGTCTTGATTACAGTATAACAACATCATGTTGTTGTCTTGGTTACAGTATAACAACATCATGTTGTTGTCTTGGTTAGAGTATAACAACATCATGCTGTTGTCTTGATTAAAAGTATAACAATATCATGTTGTTGGTCTTGGTTACAGTATAACAACATCATGTTGTTGTCTTGATTACAGTATAACAACATCATGTTATTGTCTTGGTTACAGTATAACAAAATCATGTTGTTGTCTTGGTAACAGTATAACAACATCATGTTGTTGGGGGTGGTTACAGTATAACAACAACATCATGTTGTTGCCTTGGTTACAGTATAGCAATATCATATTGTTGGTCTTTGTTACAGTATAACGTCTTGATTAAAAGTATAACAATATCATGTTGTTGGTCTTGGTTACAATATAACAACATCATGTTGTTTCTTGGTTACAGTATAACATCATCATGTTGTTTGTATTGGTTACAGTATAAAATCTTGGTTACAGTATAACATCATCATGTTGTTGTCTTGGTTGCAGTATAACAACATCATGCTGTTGTCTTGGTTACAGTATAACAACATCATGTTGTTGGTCTTGGTTACAGTATAAAGTCTTGGTTACGGTATAACAACATCATGTTGGTGTCTTGGTAACAGTATAACAACATCATGTCGTTGTCTTGGTTACAGTATAAAGTCTTGGTTAAATTATAACATCATCATGTTGTTTGTATTGGTTACACTATAAAATCTTGGTTACAGTATAACAAAATCATGTTGTTGTCTTGGCAACAGTATAACAACATCATGTCGTTGGTCTTGGTTACAGTATAGCAATATCATATTGTTGGTCTTTGTTACAGTATAACAACATCATGTCGTTGTCTTGGTTACAGTATAATAACATCATGTTGTTGGTATTGGTTACAGTATAAAGTCTTGGTTAAATTATAACATCATCATGTTGTTCTCTTGGTTGCAGTATAACAACATCATGCATGCTGTTGTCATGGTTACAGTATAACAACATGTGTTGTTGTCTTGATTACAGTATAACAACATCGTGTTGTTGTCTTGGTTACAGTTTAACAACATCATGTTGTTGGGGGTGGTTACAGTATAACAACATGATGTTGTTGTCTTGGTAACAGTACTACAACATCATGTTGTTTCTTGGTTACAGTGTAACAACATCATGTTGTTGGGGGTGGTTACAGTATAACAACATCGTGTTGTTGTCTTGGTTACAGTGTAACAACATCATGTTGTTGTCTTGGTAACAGTATAACAACATCATGCATGCTGTTGTCTTGGTTACAGTATAACAACATCATGTTGTTGCCTTGGTTACAGTATTGCAACATCATGTTGTTGGTCTTGGTTACAGTATAACAACTTCATGTTGTTGTCTTGGTTACAGTGTAACAACATCATGTTGTTGTCTTGATTACAGTATAACAACATCAAGTTGTTGTCTTGTTTACAGTATAACAACATCATGTTGTTGTCTTGGTTACAGTATAACATCATCATGTTGTTGGTCTTGGTTACAGTATAACAACTTCATGTTGTTGTCTTGGTTACAGTATAACATTTCATGTTGTTGTCTTGGTTTCAGTATAACATCAT